AAAATTAAGGAGCTTTCTGAAACTGAAAAAACAATGTTGTAAAAAAAAGTTTATTTATGATATTGAATTACATAATGCAAGAGATAAATTGGGGAAAGTCAAAATATGTACCAAATGTAAATACTCTGATAGATTCTGTGAAAGTTGTATCAGTTTACAATTACAGAGTCTTTTCAATGCTTGGACATCTGGAAATGACATAGTTGTCAATTTTATTAAATGAAATCATCTTTGCCAAGTCACATCTTAGAATGAATACCTTATGAGCAATTTGAAAATATTACAAAATTAACTGAAGGTGGATTATATTGCAATATGGACAAGAGGAAAAAACAATTGATTATGATGAAAATCAAAAGGAATTTAGTTATTATGGAACTGTTGGTGTAGTATTAAAATCTTTAAATGATTCAAATAATCTAAGGAAAACATTTTTTGATGAGGTTGGTAGTTTTTATTCAAAACAATACTGCATTATACAACACTAATTGATTTATTACAGGTAATGAATGAATCATTATAAAATTAAATCATTTTTAATTGTTCTGTGCTATGGTATAACTAAATCCCAGGTAATGGAAGTTATGCAATGGTTCTTGATTATCATCAAGAAGGAACTTCAAGGGATTATTTACAAAAAACTCATTCTGATTTAACATTAAAAGACAGAATTACAATCTTTTATTATTTATGTATTGCGTACATGAAAAGATTTAATTCATTATGATTTACATAGTGGTAATATATTATTGCATACAGGTAATTGTTATATTACAGATTTTGGATTATGTGGACCAGTTGATCAAATAAAATCTATGGAATTATATCATATATTGCACCTGAGCTACTTAGAGGCAAAAATAATACAAAGAACACAAAAGAAACTGATATCTATATTGTTGAGATGTTAATGTGGGAAATATTCACCATTTGATAATAAAGATCATAATCATTGTTTAATTTTTGATATATATGAAGGTTTATGATCGCTAATATTACCAAGATACCTGATTATTATGCACAAATGATTCAGAGGTGGATAAGGTTGTGGGTGAAACTCCAGAAATCAATTGACAGAGTTTCAACAGGTTACACGTTAATTGTTTATTTGAGTTTCGGCAGAGTTTCACATTTGGGGTTTTGTCAATCGTCAGAGTTTTGACAAGGTATATACTAATTGTTCATTAGAGTTTCAACAGAGTTTCAACAGTCACTAAGAGGTTTCA